GGGGGGTGGAGGGTGTGGGTGTGGGGGTGGGGGTGGGTGTGGGTGTGGGTGTGGGTGTGGGTGTGGGTGTGGGTGTGGATGTGGATGTGGGTGTGGGTGTGGATGTGGGTGTGGGTGTGAATGTGGCTGTGGGTAGGGCTTGGCGTGGGTGTCGGATTCTACTGATGAATAAAAACAGTTCCACACCCACACACACACACCCTAGTTCCTTGGTTTTGTGACTGAACTATTCTCGTTCTACGCCTACACACACATCCTCGATTCAAAACGTTCAACGACGTCGTTTCATAATAGGAGGTCCTTCTCGATCGATATAAGCGGAATGATAAGACAGAATGATAAGTTTATAGAATCGTTATAGAAATCTGTGCTTTTTAATTCTGGACTAGTCAGAATGCTTTTATTTCGACTACATCAAAGCAATAGGAAAAATACATATAAGCTATTCAACCAGTTTTCGACTTGCAGTATGGTAATGTGGGTTGATCATCTTTGACATCACATATAATTTGTCTAACTTCAGCATCAGCAACTAAACGCTTCCAGAACTCATCTTTTAGGGCTATTTGTCTCAGATTGCCGACAATGTAAAGGCATTGCCTTGCACGAGTCAAGGCAACATTGAGTCTTCGTTGATCATTTAAGAAGCCAATTTCATCACCGCTGCGGACACAGGAGAATATGACAAAGTCTTTTTCCTTGCCCTGTGCACCATCGGCCGTCATCACTTCGACATCAGGAAGAAGGCCTTGGAGAAATCGCAGCTGAGCGCGATATGGACAAATGATAGCGATTTGCCTTTTAACATCCAGTTCTTTTCCTGCCATGTGATCAATCAGACTTTCGTAAAGTTTTTTAACAAATTTGGCCTCATCTTCGTTCCTGATGGACCCATCTTTTTCTTTGATTTCTCCCGGCACAGATCTGTTGTAATAGTAGAGGTGCCGAAGACCGATATTTCTCATTTCTTTGTTGACTGACGGATGTGTTTTTAGTGCCATCTGATAAAAAATACGATTCGGAAACGAACAGATTGTCGAGTGCATCCTATATTGTACTGTTAGGTTGGTAATTCGATTACTATTTTCGAAGATTTTGTGAAGACGCTCATAGAGCGATCGATCGAGGCCACACATCCCACCAGCTATACTTGTGACTGTCGGTGGTAGTTGCTGTGGGTCCCCAACAAGAATTATTTTACCACAGTTGAAACGGTTAGGAATCAGACAATCTGCCATCAAACTCTGGCTTGCTGCAATATAAAAAAATGCATTTTATAACATTATCATTCAAAAACATGGATGTTCATTCTCACCTTCATCAATGATGACAAAGTCAACTTGATCCACAAGTGACGATAGTCGTGAGCTGGCACAATTATTCAGCGTTGATACGATAATTGTTGCTTTATTCAAAATATTTTCTTGAAGTTTGGTTAAATTAACTTTGTTTGTTTTGGGATTTTCTTTTACAGTCTCAAAAATTTTCTCAAGCACAAGAAAATCAAGAAAATGTTTACATAAGTTTTCATCAATCGGTGGTTGAGAACCGATACGAATGAGCGTATGTTGATCTATAATAGAGTAAACAAGAATTAGAAAATCTAAATGATCAAAATTCAACTTACTATTTTGTTCTTGTTGAGATAATCTTTGAAGAATACGACACGATAGTTCATCACACGCAGTATTTGAAGGCGCACAGATAAGTATTTTTCTTTTTCTGAAAATGTTGTTTGATAGTAAATTCATAACAATGCCCGCAATGGTACTACTCTTACCAGTACCTAGGCAGGAAAGAAACAATACAGTCGTTACTGCAACAAAAGGATCATGTTCAAATTCTGTCTTACCTGGTGGACCAAAGATCAGATGTAATCGATCTGTATCATCATCATACATATGCTCGCTGATAGCAATTGCTCTGGATTGATTTAAATTGTAGCTAGGCTTTTCTACTGTATTCGAAGAATCGAAACCACTTGGCAAGTGGAAATAAGGATCGCTAGATTTTGGCATGATTAGACTACGTTGATAAGGCCAATGTTTAAGATGGTGAATGGCACTCATCATGCGTACAGATGATGTGATGTTGCTGATCTTCCGTACCTCAAGTGTTTTTGAATCTTTTTCCTGCTGTTGCTGTCTTACAGCTTCTGCGCACTCCTTCGAAACGTAGATGCCTATGACGACGGATAACTCGATCTTTATGGATTCATTAAGTTCAATGCCGACTGATTGCTGTTTAGCCTTGCCATTTTTATCTTGAACTTGCTTTTGCTTCACGCATACAACCACACCAAAATACTGTTTTTTATCGATCGTTATAACGATAACATCGAACAATCCTAGTTTCTTATTCATGTGATTGAACGAATCATCTACAACGAAAAGGATACGGCAATGTGAAAGTGTATTATCGAAAACAAAACTCACTTGAAACCACAATAGCTGTTCCTACGATAAGTGCAGTTTCCTTTGTTTCGCATCCTGTCATCGTGGGTTCAATGGTTTTCACATCAATCTTAAATAAACGATCTTCAACCGACATTACACTACTATGATGATCTCGATCCATCGAAGCCCACACTTCGTGGTAATACAAAACTGTTAAACACGAATAAAATTTCATAAATTCATCTTCAGCTAATCTGTCATAGTTTGTTTCGTTAAGAGAAGAAACAACGTCATCTAATTTTCGTAAACGGCTAGATGTCAATGTAGCATGTAATTCTTGCATAGAAATGTTCTCTCTGAGGTAGTCAGGATTCCAACGGGTGATTATAAGATCGAGCAACTTGCGAATAGAAGGATTCCAATAGTATTTACATCCTGATTGTCGTCCCGATCCTATTTTTGTGCCAATATTGGTATCAGAAGAATCACATCTTTGACAATTCGCTGTTGTATGGACATATTTCGTTGACTCGTCATCTGGTCCACTATAGGCGACTGGAAACCATGACAGCTCCTTTGAATATATCTTTGACACTAAGAAGACTGATCGAGCTTTAAGCCACACGCGTCCCATAAAACCTTCGACCCGCCTTTTAAACCAAGGACATTCCCGATATGGATCATTTTTTCTGCTTGAATTTTCTGTTTCTGGCATCGTTTTAAACTGGTCTATAATCAAATAAAAAGAAAGTAGAACTCTCTTGATTTAACTCTTCAAATAAATTACGGTTGATATGATGAAAAATAAGAAGGACGAAGAATAAGACACAGAACTCATGAGAGGAAAATGCTGACCAAGCGTAATCTGTCTGCCATAACTCGAATGCGATGATGCTATTAGAATAATATGAATATTCATTCAAAAACTGTCTTCGTTTTAGATGCATTGCTCTTGTTTATTTTGATTCCACACGGAGCAATGGTCAGCACGAAATTCAGAGGAAGAATATAGTAAAGACTAGCGATTTTGTGTCAAGGGAATTGTTTTTTGATGTTAGGTGTAAGATGGAAGGAAAAAAGGGGTTTATCTTACCTAGGCTGGGTGCTAAAAGGTAACGTTGAACTATGATCACCTCATGTCCTTTTGAGATTTTCGGGTCTTATACCTGAGTTCTAATTCTTTACTGATCGTTATCGATAGTATTCCTTCACTTCTTTGTCAATCGACAATGTCTCATACTAGTGAAAAAAACACAGAGCTATGAATTATCATTGCGCATCATTGGGGAATATTGTTATCAGCAGCTTAACGATGACTAAATGTTGGATATTAGTTGAATAACAGATAAAGAAAAATTGAAATGGAAAGAAATATGAAAAGAAACATCGACCTACTTATAAAAAAGAATGAGCGAAGAATTTTTGTATTGTTTTACTTGTTTTTAGTGATTGAGATTGAGGATTAACACGTTTGATGTGTCTGTTATTAACTATTGATTAACAACGCAAATTTATACTATCAGAATACCCAGACAGAGGGAATTTTCCATTTGGAATGAGCATGACATCATAGTCGCTTTCTTTCTTTCAAACTGGAGAAAAGTTAAACAAATTCATTTCTTTTTCTTTTTCTTTTCTGTTTAAATGCACATCATGCAAATTCTCATCGCCGAACAATTGAAAAAAACCCAATCCATTGTGATAATTCTTGCAAACGTTGAAATTGACAAATGACGAATTTTCTTTTCAATCTGATTGAATTGGAAAAATCCAAAACATCATCATTGTTTGGTTTTTATTGAAATATTGACAAGCTTTGCTTATTATTCAATTTTACAGATGGAAAATAACAATTTATTTTCACAGTGTATCTCGATTGTCCTCTAACCTACCATAATTCATTAGTTTTAAAGAATCAATGTATAGTAAAAGGTACAGACTTCACTGATTGTAACTAAGAAATAGAAAATAAACCACAAAAAAACTATCAGAAAAAGCGACGACATTTTTTTCATTAAGGTCCACAATACTAAAAACGTCGATGTGTATTTCTTTGTTGTTTTTTGTACATATCATCGCATTAGATCGATTGCTGTTTGAAGATTCAAAAGTATATTTTTGAAAACCTTCTCGTTTGACTAATGAAATTCATCCAAGACATGTTTTTAATAGAAATCTTGAAAAAATATATTGTTTGATGAAATGTAGCTAAGTAATGCAAGAACAAGATAAACTGGTTCATCAATCGCTTGTTTATTTGATGAAGAAATTACTAGTGAGGCTTTCAAACCTGTTCAAAAGCTCATTTTCAACATTAAAATTACTCCGAAAATTTTTAGATAATGTATGAAAGAAAATTCTTTTCGTTCTGTTTTTCTTTGTAAACATTGACCTGCGTTCACATGTTTTCTCCCCGTTGCGGTACAATATTTACAAATAAACGCTAAAAAGAAAAGAATAGGTTTCACATATTACCTGAAAAAGATTCTCTTAACTTTCAGCGTTGAAACTAACCATTTGAAGAAGGTTGAAAGCTTCACTAATCATTCCTTTATGAAATACAAAACAGACGATTGATGGACCAGTTTATCTAGCTATCAACTTAATGCATGTTTTTTGTTAACCTGAATCAGAGTTCCCAAAAACGTGGGATTTTTCTTATTCGTTGCTAGGCTGATATAATAATTTTTTATGCGTTTACATATCACTAGCGTCTGAATATGGGATAGACTTCCGACAGTTTGATTCGAAAGGAGTATCAGGTATGTAGGCCCAACTTAATGATTGAATATTTGCTTCTGCAGGAAATACAGGTATTGCTACATTGATAAGCAAATTTTGCATATCACACACGATGAATGATTCATCTGATCTGATGATATCAGTGCTTGTTTGTCCTAACGGTATATGTCGAGAAATCCAGAGTAGGAAATTGAGAAAAAGAAAATGTCGAACTTCGAAAGTACTCCTTTTTTTTTTGTCACGACGACTGTTTACAAAAAATAGATATTTGATGCCAAATGATAGATTTCTATCATTGATGGAAAGTTAAACTTGAACATGAGCAATAATTGAACTAGATTCAGTATGTTGCACACCGCAGAAGGAATTCACTGATCGAAAATGTTGTCCGGAATATGGTCAGGTGGTTTTCTGTCACTAAGATGGCATACGATGGCGTTACGAGCATCTCAAATATAGATATCGATTGCTAGTTCCCTCCACTATCGCTTCATATTGATTGATGTGGTGTCAATCTAAAATGTACGACTAGCGCGGAATGAGTGATTACTGTATGATGAAGTAGGTTTGAGGTTGAGAACTTTGACAAACGTTATCGAGACGGAATTTAAGTTAAGTCTGTGACTGATTTTGTAGAAAGAAAAGAAATATGCATAGACATTTATGACAAAAAGGAGTCTCAAGTTGTACAGAATTGCTTAAATATCGTTATTCATCATTTGCGTGTTGTTTAGAAATCAAGTGTGGATAGACTCCATGGATTGGATTTCATGTGCGCATGAGTAATACGTATATTCGTTCTAGTAACAATAGCGCTTTATTACACAAAAAAAATTCCAAGACTTGCCTTATTCGACTGCGAAATTAATGAGGTTCCGACTGCAACAAATAAATTCGAAAAGAAACGATCAGCCATCACATCCATCCAGCAAAAAAAGTTGTTTCCAATTTTAATTTTCACAACTTTTCACATATGTGTAACCTATAACTTGAGCTCAATTGAAATCCGCATTAGGGTTACTTCGCGAGTCATAAAAGTTCAAAGTTACGAAAGTACAAAGCGTCAAAAAATATGATGAACTGTTGAGTCTCGTATGGATATACGTTTGACTGTGGGTGTGAGTGTGGGTGTGAGTGTGGGTGTGAGTGTGGGTGTGGGTGTGGGTGTGTCGGTGTGGATGTGGGTGTGGGTGTGTCGGTGTGGATGTGGGTGTGGGTGTGGGTGTGGGTATGGGGTGTAGATGTGCCTGTGGGTGAAAATGATATGAATGCCTACGCCCACACCCACACCCACACCCACACCCCTATTTATATAAATAACACGAAACGCGTCGGCGAAATTTAACTCTGCATTTCTTATAAATTAGTTCGAATTCAAGCACATCGATCAAATATTTTATATTCGACATCATAGTCGTTTGCTGAAAAGCGAAAGTTGAGACTAGCAGATTGATTTGTATCGGAGGGATATAGATTGATCTATTTCTATTTGATTTACCCACACCCACATGCAATGCTGGTAATTGAGAATATACAAAATCAATCATATCTGGTGTTACTATATCCATTAGTTCATCTTTCTTATCTTCAAATGGCTTTTTGTTTAAATCTATTGAGCAGATAAAATCGTTTGAATCAATTGTTTCATCAAGATCATCTCGTATTGAGAGTGTGAGTGGGTGTGGGTGGTAGTCCTGATTACTAAACAAACACCCACACCCACAGCCACCCCTGAAAATTGACCTGAATCTAAGATTATACAATTACAGACATACGCGTCCGCTCTATTCTGCTCAATTACAGAAATCACAATAATGTCACTCTTTCTTCACAGACCGAGAAGCTTTCTTGAAAGTATATTAAAAAAGCCTTGCAGTTTCAATCTAAGTATCTTTTCTCTTCGACAAAGCATCATTTCTTGTTTTCAAACAACA